AATTAAGTCTTTTTATAATATATATATATATTCTCATAATGACTTTTTTTCTTCAAATATTGCGACTTCATTCTCGTTATTTCCGTTTCTTTCAGTGTGGCCCTAATCCTCCGTTGTATAAAACTGAGGCTAAAAGAAAAGCAGACTTGTTTGCACTGTGCCAGGAGAATAGCTGCATTTTTGGAGATGATCATTTGGTAAAAAGCAGAAATCAAAGTGTTGCCGCTCTGAGAGGCGGAGTCACGTATCGTACGTCTACTAACACCAGCAGAAACCCCAGGAGAAAAAAAATCACTTTTCAAGTTAAACGGAAAAAAAACGTCTTTAAAAAAAAATATCTACCTGTATCTTACAAGTCTGTCACCAAACACAAAGAGTCGTTTAAAAAAACTAGTCATTGCTCCAAATAATAATAATAATTATATTAATGATAATTACACAAAATACAATATTTTCAGGCAGTCAGCGTATAAAGCATGTACAAATCTGGAGGACAGCTGTGAGCAGTTTGAACTAACGTGTCACTTAAAGTCTTAGAGTTTTAGTTATTATTGTTATTTTAAAACAAAATGAGCTAATTAGCATTAGCAACAACACCTGTCAGGTTTAGCAGGAAGCATCTGCTCGTCTCAGTTGAACCGTTCGTCTTTAATTTGGCGTTTTAACATCGTAATAAATACGTGACGTGATTAAGCAGAAGAAATAAATGAGAAAAGCTTCACTGCAGCTTTTTTTTTTTTTCCTGCTGCAGTTTGTCAGAATTTATAACAATAAATACACAAGAAAAAAAAGCGAAGTAAAATAAAAAACAATTTTTAAATGCGCCTCGTCACAACAAATAGAACAAGTGAATCTGAAGAAACTCAAACCAGAATGTTTCACAAAAAAACTGAAACAGCCCAAAAGTTCAACCTGGAATATTTCAGGTTGTTTCAGCTGTTTTCAGGAGACATGTGACTGTGGACAGACGCTCCACCTGTGTGTCCAGGTGGAGGCTCGGCTCAGTGTGTCACAGTCTCCAAAACACACTGACGGGTTTCATTTCAAAACGATCCCACAGGCATCAACCCTCTGTCGGGTTCTCTTCTACTTCCTAACACCTGTGTCTGTGTATTAAGGGACCTAAACCTCACCTGGCACAGGTTTCTCTTCTTCTACGCTGGTAAAGTCGTCACTTCCTGCACAGCTCAGCTCAAGAACTGAGATCCTGAAACAGACGGTTTTAACCAGGAGCTTCAGAGTTTGGATGAAGCAGCTCGAAGAAACAAGGTTTTATTTTAAATAATAATATTAATCATCGCCTGATACCTCGGCTGCTGTGTGTGTTTCAGGAGGAATGATCTCACCTTCAGGCTGTCGCTTCAGTGTGAATGTAAGTACTGATCGACCACATATGTCAGACCTGGATGAGATTGGGGGCCAGAGAACCTGATCAGGATTCTCACCAGAGTTTCTGTGGTAGTCCTTAGTCAAATAACGTTAGAGAACGGAGAAGCAAGCAGCGTTTATGACCGACTGACAGCAGGGGCGATAACGAGCCAAAAACATGACGACAGTGTGGTGTGTGTGTGTGTTAACCATCAGTTTTCATATCACCTGCTCTTTCACTCGCTGTCAGTCACATGTGAGACGGCACTGTACAAAGGTTTAAAGCACCAGAGCAGTGTGTTTCCACCTGAGGGCCGGGGCCCAGTGGGGGTTGCAGAGCTACTGCAAGTGGGCCGACCAAATCATTTGTCTAATGTAGGATAGGGGAGAGAGAGCAGAAGACTCCATTAGGGAATGTTTAGAGGAGGAGAGAGAGAGAGAGAGAAGGAAAACAAGGAGAGAGAGAACCGAGAAGCCCCACACATTGTTCCTGGGTTGGCGTCATGAAAGTGGGACATGGGCTGGAAACTTTGGGAACCACGACCAGAGAACCTGTCTCTGTCTCTTCATGGTCCAGACTGACTCCATGATACTGGGACATGTTCTGTGGGGACCAGGTCTCTGTGGGGACCAGTCTCTGTGGGACACAGGTGACTGTGGGGACCAGGTGACTGTGGGGACCAGGTCTCTGTGGGGACCAGGTCTCTGTGGGGACCAGGTCTCTGTGGGGACCAGGTGACTGTGGGACCATGTCTCTGTGGGGACAGGTGACTGTGGGGACCAGGTGACTGTGAGGACCATGTCTCTTGGGGGACCAGGTCTCTGTGGGGACCAGGTGACTGTGGGACCAGGTCTCTGTGGGGACCATGTCTCTGTGGGACAGAGTGACTGTGGGGAACCAGGTCTCTGTGGGACCAGGTCTCTGTGGGCGACCAGGTGACTGTGGGGACCAGGTACTTGTGGGGACAGGTCTCTGTGGGGACCAGGTCAATCTGTGGGGACCAGGTGCTCTGTGGGACCAGGTGACTGTGGGGACCAGTCACAGTGGAGAGACAGTCTGTGGAGACCAAGACATCAGATGGGGAACGTGAAAATAAGAGAGACCAGGTAACGAGACGAGGGTGGAAGAGGATCGATGGGAACCGAGTGGAAATTGTGGGAACATATAAAGAGACAAGATTGATAGAAGGCTGTGGGGACCAGGCTCTGTGGGACCAGGTGACTGTGGAGCAGGTTCGGCGGGACTAGGTCTCTGTGGTGGACCACTGTCGTCTGTGTGGCGCACTCGGTCTCGTGTGAGGTGACCAAGTGACTGTAGGACAGGATGATGATGGATAATGATTGATGATGATGATAGAACTGAACATCTAATGCAGTGACGTCAAATGTTTGCACAGGTGACTTCTGTTTCACTGCCTCTGTGACATGTCGGCCCTCGACAACAGAGGTGAGCTTGACTGTACTCTTTTGTTGGTTGCTTCTGAATACATGTTCTATCAGCTCGTTTGTCTAGTCAGGAACCAGACATCGGGAGTAACTGAGCCTTCAGAAGGCTCTTTATTTTTGAACATGAGAACTCGTCAGGTCAGTTTTGAGCTGCGATCTGACACCGCTCCTCATGTTCGAACTGTCCACTCGGTTCATGACAAGGGTCTATGTCTATTCCTCTAAACACCATCCTCTGTGGGTAGGGAGCTTTTACTGAGGGTTGAAACGAGAACAAGTCCTGTCTGGTCTCCAGGCACAAACAGTTCCAAAAGTAAAACTCAACCAGATTCATTTAAAGCAGAAATCGCAGCAGCAGGTCCGTTCAGTCCACCGTCCTCTCAGCTCCTCCCACTGCATTTTAGCTCCTCTCACATCCCCTTAGCTCCTCCCACGTCCTCTAAACACCTCAAAGAATCTGTGTTCTGAAGAAAAAAGGCACGTTATCATGACGAACACCTCAGAGCGAGTGTCTGGGGTTAGTGACGGAGACAGAGGTGGAGCTTTATCTTCACCTGTGACGGAGAAAAGAGAAAGAAAAGATTCCAGCGTTTGTAAAATGTACCGAGGCTTCTTGTTTTTCATTCATCGTCTCATCCAGAGGTTGGTTTGTTTCAGGACCCAGGCCAGCCTGAGTCCAGGAGGCGGCGGGGACCAATACGTGACAGAATCTTAACAGGAGCAGTCTGTGGACAACACCCTCCTCCAAACTCCACCCTCCTCCTCCTCCTCTCCACTCGTCCGTCAGGCTCAGGTCATACGAAGACCTTGGCGAGCGCATCAGCCCCGGCGCTGCCAATGTAGCACTTGTAGGGTGGAACGCCACGTCGTGGATCGACTCCTCAAACTTCTTCCTGTGGGCGTGAACTCCTGGATACACGTCTTACTCTCCATGTTCCACAGACGGATGGAGCAGTCGTGACCTGGGGGGGGGGGCAAGGAGAGAGAGAAGGAAACAAGGAGGAGAGAGGGAAACAGGAGAGCGAAGGAAACAAGGAGAGAGAGAAGGAGACATGAGGATTAATGACTTTCATTAATTAACCATCACCAACAGAAACAACAGAAACACATCGTCTGTTTGTTTCCTGTTGATACAGGAACATTAGAAACTGTGTCAAACATCAAACATCATGTTAATAACTGAGGAACACTCACTTCCAGACATGAGGTACAGTCCGTTTGGATCCACAGCCAGACAGGTGACAGAGTCCAGGTGAGCCACCATGGAGTGGATCAGTTTTCCCTTCACAGTCAGACAGATACAGTAGACAACTGAGACAAAACTGCTTGAACACGGCTTTAACAAACATCATGAGGAACTGGAGTGTGTATCTCTGAGGAACTGGTGTGTGATTCTCTAAAGAACTGGAGTGTGGTTTCTAAAGAAATGTGTGTGGTTTCTAAAGACCTAGTTGGTCTAGACGTGTGTGTTCTCTAAAGAACGTGTGTGTGGTTCTCTAAGAACTGGATGGTCTTTAATGAACGTTGTTGGTTCTCTGAGAACGGTGTTAGAACTGGTGTGTAATCTCTGATCTGTGTATGCTCTAAAGAACTGGAGTGTGGTTCTCTAAAGAACTGGAGTGTGGTTCTCTAAAGAACATGTGTGTGTGGTTCTCTAAAGACCTGGAGTTTGGTTCTCTAAAGAACGTGTGTGTGGTTCTCTAAAGAACGTGTGTGTGGTTCTGAGGAACTGAATGGCTCTCTGAGGAACTGTACCTGTGTTATTGTCGAAGAACTGGATGTGGCGGTTCTCCTGAGCGGTGATGGTGATTGGCAGTGTGGGGTGACCAGCACTCTGTTGATCTTGCAGGGGAGCCTCTGTGTGTGGGGTGGAGGGGGGTGGAGGGGCGGAGGGTGGGGTGGGGGGGGGGGCAGACACATTAACAGCTACAGTCTTCATCAGTCTGACAGCAGCTGCACTACAGAACCAAACATGGGTTAATCCGCCACTGAAAATAGTCCCCAACAAATGCTGATAAAATCTACAGGAGCAGCTGTTTCAGTAAATTACTGAGACTTTAAACGACATGTTGAATCTGAATCAGAGTCTGACGCTTGTGTCGCTCTGTGGTCTGATCATGTGACTCGGCCTCAGTGTGTATCAGACAGGAACCAGTCTGTCCTGTCTGTGATTGTCGGTCAGTTACCTGGCGGTCCGGCAGAGTCCAGCTTCAGGACGAGCTGCTGCGTCTCCATGTTGAAGAGGGTCCGATGTGTTCGGTGGTGAACGACGTCACCATGTGAGCTGGCTCGCTGCTCACCAGGTCCACTGAGGTCGGCACCCGAGCTCTGACAGGGACACACAGCAGAGACGCATCAGGAACGAGTGGTGTGTGTGTGTGTGTGTGTGTGTGTGTGTGTGTGTGTGTGTGTATGTGTGTGTGTCACTTGGTCTGAGAATCTACATGATGATTTAAATACCTGACCAACAGACTCTTATAACACGGTTAGCATGTTAGCACACTTAGCATATATATTCAGTGTTTTTCTTTTGAACTAGCTAGCATGCTAAATGTAAGCAAGTTAACATTTAGCGTGTAATGTCACAGACATGTAATGGCAGAGAAAAGTAGTTTGAGCAGAAACAATCAGTCAATGAATCAATGAATCAACTGACTGGAAATCAATCAGTAACAATGATGTTTTTTGAACTTCAGTTTCCTCAGATTTGATCATAAACTAAATATCTTTGAGTCGTGACCACGTAAAGACATTTAAATATTTGAACCTGGACTTTAGGAAATGTTAATGTTAATTTTAAAAATGACTCGTTAGTTTTTATGTTACAACAACAACAAACAACAGATGAATCAATAAGTGAAATAATCATTGGTCATGACAGGAAGTGCTGGACATGTCTACATTTTGACCTATTGGTGGCGCTAGAGGATCATCAGGGTTAAATCAGGCGGGTCTCTCACCTCCTCTCTCGTTGAAAACGGCGAGAGACGGCGAGGTGTCGGCGGCGTTCCACAGCCGGACTGTCCCGTCGGCCGAGCAGGAGAGGAGGCGGTGATGTGCCGAGCTGTAGACCACGCCCCACACCGAGTCTGTGTGACCACACAGTGCCCCCCGCAGGACCGAGGGCTCTGCAGCCACAAGGACACAGAGGCGTCAAAAAGACATCACATTTCTAAAGAGAATTTTTAAAGGAGCTCTTTGTAAGTTTTGCTATTGCTACATGGCTAACGATAGCATCAACAGCTATCCCAGCCTTGTCAAGAGCCATCGTTTCGTTTATAATACAAGAAGTTATAACACGTCCTCTGAGCAGCTACTTCTTCAGGACAGACTGGATGCTACAGTGACTTGGTGTCAGAAAATGATGAGAGGGTATGACTGGATTAGAGCTAGCTGGTTAGCATGCTAACTTCAGTGGAAGAAAAGAACTGATAGAAATAGAAGCAAAACAGGAGGGTTTGTTTCCACCTCTGGACACAGCTGTTGGTGAGTACAAACATTAGTGTGTTATGTCTGTCAGTTAGTTAAAGGAGTTATTTGTAAGCTTTGCTACTGCTATATAGCTAACATTAGCATTAACAGCCATTTACTAACCAGTCTCACCAAAAGCTTCAGTCATCGTTGTGTTTATAATACAAGAGGTTATAATGCGTCCTTTGAGAAGCTACTTCTTCAGGACAGACTGGACGCTACAGTGACTTGGTATCGGAAAATGATGGAGCTAGTTGGTTAGCATGCTAACTTCAATAGAAGAAAAGAAGTGATAGATACAAAAGCTAAACAAGAGGGTCACTTTCCACCTCTGGACACAGCTGTTGGTGAGCAAAGGAATGAAGTTTGATGCTGAACTCTTCTAAACTAGTCGGTGAACAGCTGTTGTTGCTAACGTTAGCTATGTTGCGATACAAAACATATATAGCTCCTTGAAATCTTGAATTATCAGCAGAAAACAATGTTTTCTCTTCTTGTGTTTTCTATCTTTCATTTCCTTCGGTTGTGTTGGTTTCTTTTTTTTCATGTTCTCTCTCGTAGAAATGATGAGGCCGACGCAGGAGCAGCTAAAGTTGATCAGTATTTTATGTGTATGTTTCGGTTTCTATCTCCTGAGTCTTATTCGCTGCCGCTGGAGACTTGTTGGTTCTTCTTCTTCTCCTTTCCTAAACTGGAACATACCATATGAATCGTAGGGGTCAATGTTGGGGTTGGGGGTGTTCCAGCTCTGAATGGTTCCGTCCACGCCCCCACTGAAGCACTGCTCGCCACTGGAGCTCATGGTGACGCACAGCACAGCGCCGCTACAGGAGACAGGAAGGACACGATTCACTTCATCACTTCACACAGATTTCTGCAAAGCTCAGTGTCAGTGTGATAATGATCAGAGGTCTCGTTAAAGCTCTGACTGGAGACTTTTAATCAGCGGGTTTAAAGGACAACCTGAAAACAAAATGGCAGTCATGACTGTCGCCAGTGTGGAGGAACAAAACGCTGTGAAATAACAGGCGTGACATTAATCTGCTTCAGGGTCAGAGCTTGACTGTGTGAAGTTAAATTCCTGTGTCAGACAGGTAAACAGGAACTCACCTGTGGGCTCTGAAGGTGTAGATGGGTTCAACATCTAAAGCAGCACATCTGGAAGATTAAAGAGAGGAACACAGTTTCATTAACATCACAATAAAACAAGGAGGAGACATTCAAAATAAAAGTCTTTTCTCCAGTGTGATGAATTTTTAAATGGCAGCCTGGTTCGCTCTGATCGGGAGGGTAAAACAAGAACATTGCTGTCTCACTTCTTGGCGGGCGCCGTCTTCTGGAGGTTCCACAGTTTGAGGGTGTGGTCCTCGGAGGCCGTGACCAGGACCGGCTCCACCGGGTGGAAGGCCAGACTCCGGACCGAGTCGAAGTGGCTCCGCAGGGTGAACTTGGGGTTCCAGGTTTTCCTCAGAGCGTCTTTGTTGTTGGTGATCTGAGGGGAGCATCGGACAAGTTACAACCCGTCCTGTGACTCAGTGTGAACCCAGGTCGACGCGTGAAAAACCAGACACGCAACGTCCCGTCTGTTTGACTCACATCATACGCCAGGCTGTCGGCCTCATTGGCGACGGTCAGTCCAGCCAGTTCTCCCAGTCCGAGCTCGTTAGAAACCGCCTCATCCACTCGGCCCAGGATGAACGACTTCCCCGACGACGGCAAGAACGTCATCGCCTCTGCAGGGAGGAAACAGAGAAACCAGACCATGTGATCCTCAGACCCTCTTCACCTCCAGGTCTGTATTTAATAAATGGACAGGTGAAGTGGGGGGGGGGCAGGTTACCTTCATCTGGACGTCCCACTTCATGCTCACTGAGTCTGGGTACACTGGGCCGGGAGGGGGGCGTCACAGGAGGCTGCATGGAGGGAAGCTCCTCAGCATCCCGCAGGTTAGCCAGCATGTCCTGCAGCTTAGAGCTGTTTGGTCCTGGAGGAGGAGGAGGAGGAGGAGGAGAGCGACGAAGGGATAAAACACAAAGACAACAATCAGAGGAGGAAACAGAAACATGGAGGACAACGGTTTGGGACAGAGATGAAAAACAAACATTAGTAAAGTGAAGACAGGAAGTGTCATGAGTTCAGACTGTCAGAATAAAATCTGAATCAAGCAGAAGGATGGAAATAAAGCAGCAGATGAAACAGCAGCTCTGCAGAAGATGAAGGAAATAAAACAAAGTGATAAAAGAGAAATAAGAATAAAACAGGTGAAATGTTCCAGCTGCAGAATTCATCAACGTAAAGACGTGAAGAAACGAACAGGGACGTTAATGAAGCAGCCGGTCACTGAGAACTGAACCTCAGAGACGGATCGGACACCCGACACATTCAAAAATAAAGTTGGTGAAAGAATCAACAGGAAGGTAAAAAATAAATAACATAAGATATAAGATAAAAAACTTGTGAAAGTATGAAAGAGCAAATCTCTTAAACACCGACAGAGGAGACAAACAGAAAGAGACAGAGGACAGAGACAGAGACGAGGGGAGAGACGTCCAACACTGAACCTCTGAGCAGGAGACCGGGTCACTGCGGTGGGCCGGGTCAACAGGAAGTTTTATTTCACTGGAACATTTTAAAGGTTGTTTATGTTTCTACAGTCAAACTTTTTTTTATGTGAATCATCTGTGTCCATGTGAACTGGCTCCGTCTCTGTTTAAACTGAAGGGGTTTATTTTAGTTCACAGGTCTCAATGAGACGACCTGTTTAAATAAACAATGTAATAATAACAATAATGATAATAATAATAATAATGATAATAATAACAATAACAATAATAATAATACAATGCGGGACAGTGTCAGGAGAACTTTTTTTTACATGCATAGACCAGCGGTTCCAACCTTTTCCAAGTCATGGCCAATTAAAAATCTCTAAAATGTTGTGACCCCGTAACAAAATGTTCTCAGAGAACTTTTTATTTTATTGATAAGGATCAAACATTCAGGACTGAACTGAAGACAGAGGAAGTCCGGTTTTTCTTTTTTGTTTGACGGAGGAGAAATCAGTGTGTCAGAGTGTTTTTAAAGGAAAGATGAAAACTCTTCTCTTCACCTTTAATGTTCTTCATTTTAAATCAATAATTTAAAATGTCTTTATGTTGATTTTATATCTTTTCATGTGAAGCACTTTGAGCTGCATTTCTTGTATGAAAGTTGCAATAAACATAAAGTTGATTATTATATTATTATCATTGTTGATTCATCATCTGACTCTGACTCTTTCCTTTAACTCTTCCTGCTTCTAACCAGTTTATATTTTCATCCTCCGGTTGTTGCCATGGATGTGATCTGTCAGAAAACAAGTCTATGATGTGACAACAAGGTTCCTGTCATTGTCTTATGACAGTGATCGATCCTTTAAACAATGTTTTTAAAGATTATTTAAGTTTAAAAGTTCATTTAAAACATTATTTAGATGTTTATAATTTGTTTTATAATTACATCATCTGTTTTACAAATGATTTGTCGGCCCACTTGCAGTACCTTCGTGGCCCACCAGAGGGCCCCGGCCCACAGGCTGGGAACCAGTGGAATAGATTATTCTGGATCTGGACTCAGCACAAGACAATCAGCTGGTTTCAGATCAGTTTCCTGTCGTTGTTTATATTTGTGACGGACTGACACCTCCACACAGCAAAACCACAACGTGTCAGAATATTCCAGCCTGTGGAGAACTGACCACCGAAGCTTTAAACGTGTCTGAAGCTTTTCACTCGTCTCACCTGATCGATTCATCATTTTATCTGTATCTTTATTTGTGATTGGTTCCTGACCTCTTGACGCTTTGACGGGTCGTTCAGTGACAGATCAGGTTCAGGTGGAGGTGTGTCCCGTCACCCCCGACAGAGAGAGGCGAGGTGAAGCAGCAGACAGAGAAACTAACACAAAAAAAAAACAAACATAAAAGAGAAGAGGAGGAAGAGGAGGAGGAGAGAGGATGAAGCACAGGCCTGGTTCAGGACTTACTCTTCACCCCCTTCTTGCCCTTGCGTTCCTTCCTGTACTGCTCCTTGAGCTGGGCTATCAGTCCCTGGTCCACGTCCCAGGCCAGTTCACCCAGAGGAGACTCTTCCTTCTCTACAGGCCAGCAGGAGGAGGAGGAGGAGGAGGAGGAGGAGGAGGTGGAGGAAGTGGAGGAGGGTGGAGGAGGAGGAGGAAGAGGTGGAGGAAGAGGAGGAGGAGGAGGAGGAGGAAGAGGTGGAGGAAGAGGAGGAGGAGGAGGAGGAGGAGGAGGAAGAGGAGGAGGAGGAGGAGGAGGAGGAGGAAGAGGAGGAGGAGGAGGAGGAGGAGGAGGAAGAGGAGGAGGAGGAGGAGGAGGAGGAGGAAGAGGAGGAGGAGGAGGAGGAGGAGGAGGAAGAGGAGGAGGAGGAGGAGGAGGAGGAGGAAGAGGAGGAGGAGGAGGAGGAGGAGGAGGAAGAGGAGGAGGAGGAGGAGGAGGAGGAGGAAGAGGAGGAGGAGGAGGAGGAGGAGGAGGAAGAGGAGGAGGAGGAGGAGGAGGAGGAGGAAGAGGAGGAGGAGGAGGAGGAGGAGGAGGAAGAGGAGGAGGAGGAGGAGGAGGAGGAGGAAGAGGAGGAGGAGGAGGAGGAGGAGGAGGAAGAGGAGGAGGAGGAGGAGGAGGAGGAGGAAGAGGAGGAGGAGGAGGAGGAGGAGGAGGAAGAGGAGGAGGAGGAGGAGGAGGAGGAGGAAGAGGAGGAGGAGGTGGAGGAAGAGGAGGTGGAGGAAGAGGAGGTGGAGGTTTAAAGGGACATTTCTTCTTTTTTTCTACAAGCTGATTCTGGCTCTTCTGTAGTTTTGGCCAGAGACTCCAACTAACGCACAAACTTAACGACTGGTTTGGAAGTGAGACAATGTGAGAAATTTACTTTATCAAATACTTAAAAACAGAAATTTGAATATTTTAAGTTTCATGTCGGAAAAATGTGGTGCAGCTTCCTCGAGCTCTGTGGTTTGGTGTCAGTGTGACTGTACAGAGACATCTGCTGCATCTGGACGTACTGCACAGAGCTGCTGGGCGGAGGGATACACTGTTGATCATCAGGAAATAGTTCCAAAATATTAACTCCCTCTAAAACTACAATCAACAGTGAGCTCAGAGTCAGAGCAGCTGTTTCTTCCACCGTCCTCCAACATCAGACGTCTGTGTTCAGGAGCCACAGTGGAGCCACTACAATGTCCCTGTGGACAATGGACTATGAAGGCTGCAACAGGTAGATCCTTAGTGGTCCAACATATCCCAACATGCATTGCGCTCCGGTAATGAAAGTAAACAACACTGACAGAGAGCCTGAGGATTACACTGTTAACTGTAAGTGTTTCAGTCAGACAGCTAACAGTACAACTGTTCAAACCAAGGCCCTTAAAACAAACAGTTTTTGAGGAAAAAAAGTTATGTGTTGTCAAGGTTGCTAGGAAACAGGAGCCACGCTTTTGCAACGCAGACCAGACCGTATCATTTTGGGTCGGCCTTTGAGATCTATGACGTCTACGAAGGGACACGAGTCTGAGGTGACGTCCTCAAATATCTGTCTCTGTCTGACTGACAGGCTAAAACTAAAGATATCCAGTTACTCTGATAGAAAACAGAGAAGTTTTGTCATTCATTCACAACTTAAACGATTACTTGATTATAAAAAAATAGTTGCAGATTATTCTTTGAAAATCGACCAATCAATGAATCAACTAATCATTTCGGTTCTAAAGCTAAGCTAAGCTAACCTCAGACTGACAGCAGGAAAAAGTTTAACACTCGTCTTCATCTTCACTTCCAAACAGACGTTCTTTAACCTCAGTCAAACTACAGCCAAAACTACAAAATAAAAGACAAAAGACTGAAACTTTCAGTCTTACAAATAAAAGCTTCTCTGTGAGTAATGTAAACATTGCTACGACATTAGTTCAGTGTACCCTGCTAATACCACATAAAGAGCAATGTAAAGCATGTAGGAGTCTGTCTGACAAATAGAGAAACGAGAGGACACATGGACACAGCGGGATCAGAGAGAGTCTCTTGTAATGTCAAACAAACATGAAGCACTGAAGTCTTTAAGACACAGATGGAGAATAAGAGCTGGAATCTGCCTGTCTGCAGCTCTGGAAGTGAAGTGTTAATGTTAATGAGACGTTGATGCAGGACGGCGGCGCGTCCTCACAAAGAATCACAAACTCCTCACACAGTCACACAAACGACTTCTCACAGAGACGATCAGGACTCTCATGAGGGAAGATGCTGCGACGAACCAGTCCTCTGAGCAGCTACGTCTTCAGGACAGAAGCTGCAGTGACTCGGTGTCGGAAAGTGATGAGATGGGCCGACTGGGCTAGCTGGTTAGCATGCTAACTTTGGTAGAAGAAAAGAAGTGATAGTAATGGAAACAACTGTTGGTGAGTAAATGAATGAAGTTTGATGCTGAACTCTCAATGTTTCTTCTAGACTGGTGAGTAAACAGCTGCTAATGCTAATGTTAGCTATGTAGCAATAGCAAAAGTTACAATTAGCTCTTTCAAAGTAGCTCATTATTGTTCAGGACATAAGTAATGAAAATCTTTGCTGTTGTAAGTTTTATGTACAACTGTAAGTTGATCATGTTATATTCTCTTGTGGGATTTTGGAGACTTGAAGTGTTGGCCTACTTTTTATAGTTTCAAGGAGCTATTAGCAAGTTTTGCTACTGCTACATAGCTAATGCTAGCCTTAACAGCTGTTTACTTTATTCTTGGTCTCGCCAAGAGCTTCAGTCAGTCATCATAGTCAAACAAGAGGTTATAATACGTCCTCTGAGTAGCTACGTCTTCAGGGCAGACTGGACGCTACTCGGTGTCAGAAAATGACAAAATGGGCAGACCAGGCCGGGGCTAGCTGGTTAGCATGCTAACTTCAGGACAAGAGAAGAAGTTATAGAAATGGAAACAGCTGTTGATGAGTAAAGGAATGAAGTGTGATGCTGAGCTCTTCTAGACTGGTCAGTAAACAGCTGTTGTTGCTAACGTTAGTTTTGTAGCGACAGCAAAAACATATATAGCTCTTTTAAATCTTGAATTAGCAGCAGAAAAAATGTTTTCTGTTCTTGTTTCTTCTAGACTGGTCAGTAAACAGCTGGTTGTGCTGACATTAGCTTTGTAGCGATCGCAAAACTTACAAATAGCATCTTAAAGAGCCATGTAGCACATTACATTATAATTACATTAGTAATTAGTATGTAAATATGTCATATCTGTGCAGGTCAAACTGTTTTAATTTAGAGATTCATGAATCTTCACACACAAACAACGAAGTGTGAACCTTTGAACAGCTGGTGCAACTTGCTCCAGGTGCAGAACTGGTTTGACCAGGACCAACATCCTTCATTCTAATTGTGGTTCTCATCAGTGTAATTAAAATGAAAACTGGAGATACGAGATTTTCTGCTTTTACGTCAGTTGAAAGGTTTTAATGTGCTGAGTCAGTTCCCACCTCAGGACACTTCAGGTAAAAATAAAAGTTTCTAAAAAAAAAAAGAAACGTGTGTGCAGATGGTCAGAGTCCTGGTCCAAAGATGAGAAACATGCAGAAACCACAGAGGGGGAAGGAAGGGCGCGCAGCAACGACGCCATGATGACGGCGAGCTGAGAGAGAGAGGATCTCATCATCCCTCCAGCGGCCCTGGGCGAGAGAAGCATCGAGTCGATGGTTCAAGAAGAAAAAGCTTCGGAGTCAGAAATAAAAAATGTGTTTCATAACAGAGGAGCACACACACACACACACACACACACACACACACACATGCGCACATGTGTGTTTGTGCTCAGCTGCTTCATTATCTCTGTCTGTGAGGGAGGTGAGGAGGAACAACAGCTGACCAGAGCAACGTTTCATATGTTTTCAAAATGAAGGAAATAAAAATTTTTATGTATATATCTTTATGTCCTTGATAACTGTGTGTGTGTGTGTGTGTGTGTGTGTGTGTTGAGCCCTGCTGAACTGAGTCAGCACTCCTTTACAACTCTCTGGACTGTGAAGTGTTGAATCACGAGCTGCGTGGGGAAGCTTTTTGTCGTCGTCCAAATGACACTGAACGTGTTGCTAAGTAACAGTAGAAAAAAAAAAGGGGGGGAGGTGTTGTGTAAAGTGTGGGGGCAGCCAGGTCACCAGCTGGGAACTTTATTTTGTAAAGAGAGTTTTATAAATAGAGAGGAAATGTGTCGGTGCCGGAGCGGCTTCCATTGTTATTGATTTTACTTTCAGTCACAGATTTCTCTCTGATCTGATCTGAACGTCATCAACAACAACTCGTCTCCATGACGACCTGACGTCTCTACCAGTGGTTTTTCACGTTTTTGTCCATTGACTACAAGCTGTGTAAATCTTCACTGGCAGAGTTTAGCATGTTTCAGGAGAAATCTTTTAAATGTGCATACAAGTGCTAAACTTGGTACGAATCCTCCCCTCAAAAATTCAAGATGGCCCCCATCTCCAAGATGGCTGACATTTCTGGCAAGTGAATGTTATTTTTTGTTATAAATTAACAGACAATTTTCCCATGTGAATGATCCAGGTGTCAATCAAACATTTAAACATCATTTAATTCACTGTAGTCCTGCTGAAATAGAACAGTGAGGGACGGAAACCAAAAACCTCGTCAGCATAGAAATAATTTCAATAACTTAAAATAATATTAAATTTACATTAAGAATTGTGAATTTTAACGTCTTCAAAGTCAAAAACACAGGATTCAACTCAAAATCATCCACTGGGTAAAATGGGTAAAAATGGCGGCCTTTTGAAATTTCAAGTGGCCAATGGGATTTTTCAAATGAAAGAAAAAATTTCCCTCAGAGAGAAAAACAATTTAGATCATTTGACCACATCTGAAATATTACAGTTATCTGCTGCAGTATGACTTCAGTTCAACGACCAGAGAGAGAATCAACTGAGGGTGTTTTTAATGTAAGTTATACTGTTGACTACTTTATAGATTTGTGTACCAGTTGAGTACTTGTACTCTGTTGCACTGAATGTAAAAAACTAGTTCTGGTTCTGGATCAAACTGGTTCTGAGTTCATTTGTGACCTTGAGACTTAATGCTAAATACGGGAACTTCAAATTACATGTTACCTGAAAATATTGGCTTTTTGTAAATTTTCGTAAAAGGGTTTTGTTGTCGGCACCAGCACTAAAAAAAATTTCAAGTAATACTCAGCCCTAGTATTTAGTCTGTGCATTTCACTACTATTTAGTGGCATAAGTATTTAAAACAATCTCTTCTTTGATGATAATGAGACTTTAAAAAAATAAAGGCTTATGGATAATTTATCTGCAGAAAGATTCAAACTCCATTTGCTGATTTTCATAGTGGTCAGAAATGAACTGAAACAAAATGTCTGTCTGGAACTCTATTGAAAAACTGGTGTCAGGCTTTAGAACATGGTCAGCAGTTGAATAAAGAGTATTTCAAGTTGTAGTTAGTGGAACTAGAAGAAGCAAAACCAGGAAAAGAAACTAGTTTTCTCCTGAGGCAGAGTTCCACAAGGCACTATATTAGGTCCTCCCACATTTTTAATTTTAAAATTATTTAGAAAGAGTTGATGAATATAATATTATAAATGGGTCAGGTTACGTGCAACATCTGTTCCCAGTTGGATCAAACTGCCTCACATGAGTCAGTCTCCAGTTAAAACCTCCCTGAGACTGATCAATGTGTCGCTCCTTCAGGCTACAACGTGTTTGCTGTGTGTTGTATACGTTCATCATATATTTGTCCTGCATGAACTCCACAGTCTGTTCCTCATTCACAACTGGTTTGTGTCACCAGACAAATCTGTCGCAGCTCTTGAGTCTGAATGTACGGCAGCTCTTCACAGTGAGGTCACAGAGTTCAGAAAACGTCTTCCTGTGAAATATCTTCATCCATCAGTAACATTATCACCCAGTGAATTTCAATCAGTTGCCGTGAGACTCAGAGATTTAAACATGATGTGAAGTGCCCCTTCCCTCCCCGTCTTACCCCACTCTCCGCTGTCCTCGCCGCTCCTGGACTCAGGTGATCCGTCCAGCTCGTCTGGACTGGCCAGGAAATCAAAACCCTTCAGGGCCTCCTCTGTGTCGGGGTCGTCGCTGAGGTCAGAGGTCGTGGAAGATGGTGTCGATGACTGTTTTTTCTTCACCATCTGTTGAAAAGTTAGAAAATGAGGAAGACTCAGGCTCAGACACAAAACCATAATATATAAGAGTGACCAAGCTTCAACTCTCACCCAGGATCTGAGGGCAAAAACTGTGTTTGTAGTTTGGTCTGCTGAGGGTCAGAAACATTTTATCAAGGCTTCTTTTCATGACTTTACATCATGACAATAACAAAAACAAAGTCGCTGATTCATCTTGACTGTCTCTTTATTAACACCTCATTTCTAGTTTAATAGAAGAACGGAAGATTTTCTATGTTAACGCTGCACCAGTCAAAATTTTAGATTAACAATGGATCAAATGATGATCTGTAATGTGACAGATGTTCCTTATCGAGACAAGTCGTCACCCAGCCCTGCAGTCCCCCTCCGATCTAAGGACCATTTTAGTGTCTTTCAGCTCATTGTTTCTGTGTTTACAGCCGTTTGGTTCCAGCTGCAGTTTTCAGCAACAAGCTGATGAACCCACAGCACACGACCTGGCAGACAAACCACGTTAGAGACTTCTCACCAAAACCAGAAGAGGAGAGCACATCACTCCCATTTTAGCGTCTCGTCACTGGCTTCCGCTAAATTTTAGAACTGATTTTAAGATTTTATAGATAACTTTTAAGGATGTGAACTCGCATTTCAGATCTACTGACACCTCATGTGCAGCCACAACCTGACGTCCTCAGCCGGAGCTCTGTTCTCACCTGAAGACTAAGAGTGACATATTCTTAGAGCTGTGCTTTCTCAGAGCTCAGGGTCTGAATCTACTTCTAACGTCTTAAATCTATTTTTATATTCAGTCATCATCCTGTTTCTTATCAATTAATTTAATCATTTTAGACAGTTTTATCTAATTTTTACTAAACTCAGTGTCGTACTTTTCTCCCTCTAATGTTGTAAAACCATTAAACTGTTTTTAAATCTGTTGTTTAAATGTTTTTTATCATTCATCCTCAGTTTTTTGTCTTGTAAAGCTCTTTGTAACTGTTATGAAAGGTGCTATATAAATAAAGCTTATTATTATTATCTCATCCACTGGTTGTGTGTATGAGCAACTGTTTGCTACATGTCAGCTGATCAGGTGATATATATGTTGGATTCAGTGTTTTTCTGCCCCTAGTGGTCAAAACTTTAACAGCAGCAGCTTTAACTAACCCGCTGTGTGTGTGTGTGTGTGTGTGTGTGTGTGTGTGTGTGTGTGTGTTAATGTGTGTCGTCTTACTGCAGCCAGGTCCAGGATAGTCTTGTCCCTCCCTTCGCTGTCCTCCTCCTCCTCCTCGTCGCTGAACTCTGCGGCGGCGCTCTCTATGAACTTGAAGGCCTCCAACACGGTGGCCGAGTCGGACGTGTCGGGTTTACTGACAGGAAACAGGAAACAGGAAACAGGAAGAAGAGACGAGAACAGGTGAGTCTGGTGGTGAAAGCTTTATTTTTAAGAATAATATGAGCTCAGTTTGTTCGTGTGGTCATCAGTCCTTCAGTCTGTCACGTCCTACCTGACCACGCCGCTGTCCTTCAGTGAGGACGGCTCGGTGCCGTTCACCATTGGCTCGGTTTTCTTCTCTGCAGGTTTCTCTGCGGAGTCTCCGGTCAGACCGAGCAGCGCTCTCACCCGCTGAGACTTCACATCCAGGATGGTGTCTGTGTATCCCACCTCCTGCAGGTACCTGGGGGGGGGGCACAGGAGGCGGGGTCAGTGAGAGCAACAACCAATCATCAGCTGTGTTGTAGTTTTTCCTTCTATCAGTGTAGTGACAATTACATGACATTAGCACATGTACAAAAGTGAGCACAGTACGGAGGAAGACCAGGGTGGAACCTCACCGTTATTCAATAAGTAAGACAATAAAACAAATATTCACAGATCATCACAGTATTTCTTCATATCTCTTCATTTTACTGGATAACTGTCATTCTCACACATGCTCATTTAGCTTAAAGCTTCATTTCCTAGACTTTGACTGGAGACGTGACCCGCGTCAGGTCCTGACCTTCCCTCTTCCTTTTGTTTGTGTGTTCCTGCAGCGGCGGTGCCTCTCTGTACCCGCCCAGCTGCACAACACCATACTTATCAATGGAGCCACTTCTTAAAGGGCGATGCCACCAAGTTTAGGCTCACACTGTGAGTCTAAACAAAATGCATGAAACTCTGGCTTTGCTGGATGAGCTGCAGATTGAACCGACTATTCTTCATGGTTTTCTATCAGAAACATTAGAATCTAAACTGTTTCAGTATCGTCACGACCTCACACCACACAGTCAAGACTTTTCTGGTTGAGTTCAAGCTTTTGGCTGAAACGATTCAACCTCACAAATGCTGACTACGACGTCCTTGAGCAAAAAGTTTTTAAAATTTACAAAATTCTCCTTTTGTGTAAAATATCCAGAGGATCAGAAGAAGCCTGTTGGTCTCTGTACCGTACCTTCACCCTGCGACCCCGATGAACCTGAACGCAGCGTTTTATCCAGAGGTTTTATCCTCAGTGGACCGAGGTTTATTCTGAATAACATCGAGTGTGTTTGTTCACACAGAGAGAGCGAGAGAGAGAGAGGAAGGTCAGCCTCCCCCCTCCCTCTGTACCAGCCTCTCCGATCGCAGGAGGCCTCGATGCCTCCACACAATCCTCCATTCACTGTCACCCCACACACACACACACACACACACACACACACACACACACACACACACACACACACACACACACACACACACAGAAAACAAACACATGAGCTGCACACATGTTCTGTTTGTCGTCACAGACACAATAATGACTTAAACACTTGTAGAACTAGAGCCACCTCCTCGTGGTCGTATCCCTCCTCCACTCAGACCAGTTCCAGGTCACTTCCTGTTTATCCAGAGTCACAGAGAATATGAACCATGTGTGTGAAACTCTGTCAGATTTGCTGTGAAGCCTCCAAACTGAATCACTTCATCTTCGAGTCCAGGGGAATGTTTGTACCAAATGTGAAGAAGGTCCATCGAGGTGTTACTGAGACATCGTGTCCAAGAGAACGAGTTCTATATGTTCTACATGTTGTTGAGTTGTGTTCTGACATCATCACAGATGTTTCCATCAATTCTCAAACCAGAAAGATCAATGTGATTTTAATCATGGTAATGTTTCATTGGTCGCCTGTTGATGACATCACATCCTGTATGATCATGTGTCAGTGTGTTTGTCTGACAGAAGGTCAACATTGACTTTTATCTAGTTTTAAACACTTTTGTGTGTGTGTGTGTGTGTGTGTGTGTGTGTGTGTGTGTGTGTGTGTGTGTGTGTGTGTGTATGAACTCACTGTCTGAGCAGCTGGCGTCCTTGTTTCCAGCTGAGCTGATGGCTGCTGTTTGGAGGACTGGGAACCTCACTGTCGTTCCCCTCATCTGAGAGAGAGAGACAGAGAGAGAGACAGAGAGAGACAGAGAGAGACAGAGAGAGAGAGACAGAGAGAGAGACAGAGAGAGAGACAGAGAGAGAGAGAGACAACGAGGACAGATGAGATGACAGAAACGAAAGAGAAGACAGAGAGAGACAGAGAGAGAGAGAGACAGAGAGCAGACAGAGAGAGACAGAGAGAGGGAGTAGAGAGACCATCATATGTGAAAGAGGGAAGCATGAAGGGGGAGGGGAGGATGGGAGGAGACACGGAGCGGAGGAGAAAAAATAGGGGGGGCAGGAAAAAAAGGGGAAGGGGTAAGGGGGGGTGGCAACAGGAAAAGAGGGGGGGGGAGGCGGAAAGGGGAAAAAGAAGAGACAGAGAGAGACAGAGAGAGAGCAACAGAAGAGAGAGAGAACAGAGACAGAGAGAGAGACAAGAGAGAGAGACAGAGAGACAGAGAGACAGAGAGGAGACAGAGAGAGAGAGAGACAGAGAGAGATGACAGAGAGCAGAACAGAGAGAGAGAGAGACAGAGAGAGAGACAGAGAGAGACGAGAGACAGAGAGACGAGAGACGAGAGAGAGAGAGACAGAGAGACGAGACAGACGAGAGAGCAGAGAGAGAGAGAGAGAGAGAGAACAGAGAGACAGAGAGAGACAGAGATGAGAGAGACAGAGAGAGAGCAGAGAGAGAGAGAGAGACAGAGAGAAGAGACAGAGAGAGACAGAGAGAGAGACAGAGAGAGAGAGACAGAGAGAGCAGAGAGACAGAGAGAGAGAGAGACAGAGAGACGAGACAGACAGAGAGAGAGAGAGAGAGAGAGACAACAGAGAGAGAGAAGAGAGAGGACAGAGAGAGAGAGACAGAGACCGAGAACGAGAGAGAGACGAGATGCAGAGAAGACAGAGAGAGAGAGAAGAGGAGAGAAGACAGGAGAGAGAGAGAGAGAACAGAGAAGAGAGAGAGAGACAGAGAAGAGAGACAGAAATGAAGAGAGCACACGACTGAGAGAGCAGACGAGAGACAGAGAGAGAGCATGAGACAGAGCAGAGAGAGAGAGAGAAGAGAGCAGACCAGAGAGAATAGACAAGTGCAGAGAGACAGAGAGAGAGACGAGAGAGCGACAGGAGATGAGAAGACAGAGAGAGAGACAGACGAGACAAGAGAGCGAGAACAGAGGAGAAGAGAGAGAGACAGAGGAGAAGAGACAGAGAGTAGGCAGAGAGGAGAGACAGAAAGCACGATGACGAGACGAAAGAGGAGACGAGAGAGGAAATGAGAGAGAGAGACAAGAGAACAGAGACAAAGAGAGAGAGAGACAGACAGAGAGAGAGAGAGAGACAGACATGTTTCTATTCATTCATTCACAGCAACAGAATCAGATGTTTCTTCTCTCCTCGTCCTCAGCTCCTCCTGGGGGGGGGTTCCTCTTGTGAACTTCCTCTCTCTCTTTGTGGCTTCATCAGAATCACAGGTGGACTTACCTGAGTCATAACTGGGGGGTTTGATCTCTCCCTGGTTCAGTTCTGTTCCATACTTCAGCTTATGGTATTTGGCCCTGAGGGTGAAAACACACACACACACACACACACACACACACACACACACACACACACACACACACACACACACACACACACACACACACACACACACAGATTAGCTGTTTGTCAGTGATCACTTCCTGGTTCTGTTGGAGTCAATGGAACCGAGTGTGTGTTTCCAGGTGTTGGGGCGTAACACTGCAGGTGTGAAAACAGTGGTATGAAGCCTTTATTTATTTATTTATCAGTTAGTCTGTGTTGTAACTGGAGTCTCAAATAATAAACATATTGTACTATTTTCTGATGTCAAGGAATTTGGTAATGAATCCATGTTCTCTGTATTAAACTAGTTCTACATGGTGGCAACAGGAAATGACCGTCTGATGTCTCCCAGTAAAATCATGTCTATCTGTGAGGAATGATAAGTTACTATGAAGTATTTGAGGGTTTTAGTTCTGATAATATTCCTGATAAGGAGAGTCGTGCTGCTTTATCCTGGATACCTGTAATCTGTATTAATGACTGTGTGTTGTGTATGAGGCCTTTAGTGTCTCCAGAGCGAGCTGTGTGAATCTGATAAATGTCCTCAGGTGACGTCCTAACAAGTTTGAGAAGTGGGTTGGAAGGGTAAGGAAGAGGATTAGGGACACACGTGTTTTTCTCAGAATTCTGAGAAAAACACTTTTTAAAATAATTAGAAAATAAATAAAATAAAATTTCACGTGGCCCTAATGTGAAATTTGTTTAAGAAAGTCAGACTTCAGAGAACAAAGTCGGAATTCCAAAAAATCTCACCTGTTGTGTAGAAGGGTTAGCGTTCAGTCTGTTAGCAGCTGATGTGTGTGCACTAACCTCTCCTGTTTGAGGGCGTACTCCAGCATCTTGATCCGTCTCACCAGGTCCTTCTTCAGGTTCTCCTGACCTCGCCGCTCCCCCTGCAGGAAGGCAATCTGAGCCTGGAGGGAACAGAGGAAGCACTGAGTGAAGACGACAGAGACAGCAGCACCTCTGCACTCAGTCAGACTCAGTCCCTGCTGTGTTTCTGTTCACACCAGAGTTCAGTTCAGTTCATCAGGCTGCTGCTGCTGATGATGATGATGAACCAGAGCAGTCTGAATCCACCTGGATCCTTTCAGCTCACTCAGCTCTCCTGATCTTTACTGTTGTAATTATTTGCCATTATGATCCACAGGTCCCCCACCCCCTCCCCCACCCCCCAGAAGTCTGAGAATGTAGAAAAGTGTCCAGGCTGTGGCGGTATTCAAGAAGCCAAGGGGCCCAAAGCCTCCTGGGAAACAGGACGGGGCCGAGTCTGAAGGTTCAGTGTTGTGGACGCACAGCGGAGACTGACGGGAGGCTTGTGACCCACTCACGCTGTCGTCTTAACATCGAGCTGAAGACGAGGCGGCAGCTCCGCAGCGTGGGAACAGACGACATGTGACCGACCCAGAGTCAAGGTCAAATAATGTGAGAGGAGGTGTCGGACCATGAACCGTGAGCTGTGTCAAACACTGTCAAGATGTTAAAGCTCCTCCAGTGTAAAGGTCTGTGTCCATGTGTAGTGTGATTATAGATCAGCTCTAGCTTCTATATTAATACTGTGAAAGTATCAAAGCCTCAGTCCACAGAGAAATGCACACAGCCTGTATTCAGAAACTGAGCCTTAAAACCAGCCGTCAGGACTTCTGGAACTTTGTGATGTCACAACAAAGCAGTCACCAAGCCCCGCCCACCTGGACCCACCATCAAACATTTTTATTTCTCCAAACCAGCAACTGCCAGAGCTGTCCATCCGTCTTGCTCTCATGGACACGAAATTTGGCAAAGACATTCACTTCGACTCGAGGATGAACTGATTACATTTTGGTGGTCAAAGGTCAAAGGTTATTAGATGCTCCGGCCCACACGTTTTGTGTATAAGGTGCGGAAACTGTTTAACTCTCCTGTTCTGTTCCAACTGCGACCATTATTTTCATTATTGTTTGACCTTATTCAACGTTTGGTCTGTAACAGTCAGAAAACAGAGACAAACTCAGTCCAAACTGAAATCTTATTTATTTATATTTTCTCCTGAGGCGTCACAAACAGGAAGTGTTTGACACCTCGTTACAGTTCCACAAACAAACGGATCAATAGGTGATTCAATTTGCTTTGAGAGAAGTGGACGATGTCGGCTGCTGCACAGTTTCCTGACACTGTCGCTTCCACACACACACACACACACACACACACACACACACACACACACACACACACACACACACACACACACACACTGAGGAGGAAGTAGGACACTTCATTCATGTCAAGCACACATGAGAAGTGGGTCGCTCCACACTCCAGGCTACAGCGTCTGCATCCTGTCACTGAGACGATGACGGCAGGGAGCCGGTCGGACACAAACTCCGCCTCCTGCTGGAGGAGCTCTGCTCTGCCTCTGTGACGGTCGGTGTTGTGTTCAAGGAGGAGTCGACCTCTGAGATGTAAGAGGTCACAGCAACATCTTCATGTTCTTATGGCTCAAATATTCTCAACTTCTATTTTTTTTTTTTGCAAATATTTTGTCTTTTATCTCTTTTGTCATATTGTTTTTATTGAAGTTTATTCAGGTCACACCAACTGTCGTCCAGTCACACAGACACACTGTCTGTCTGCATGTCTGCTTTGTGGTGGTAAATCCAAACAGCACGTTGCATCTTGGGAAAACCAGAAGCAGAGGAGAGGAAGGTCACTGTTGATCAGACACCAGAAACTTCAGCGTTTACACCTCATTTACTATTTCAATACACAAATGTGTTTCCTGTTTGCTCCTGTGTCTGTAACAGAGACCTCCTCTCAGCTCGCCACGTCTAGTTCAGGGTCCGTCTGTGTTTTAAGATGCTTTATCAATAAATATAGTTTCATATGACGTTGTTTTTCAGATTAAAGGTCACTGAGTTCAGTCGGTTTGAACCTCTGACGGTCGTAGACGTTGAACATGTCACGGATGTTGAAACAATGACATCGTGTGATGCCCCTTCGTCTGTTGCCATGGCGTCTGAGGAAGACGGTGGGATGGTTGATATTTAACTGGTTTCTGTGTAGGAAGGCGTCTGCAGCGCGTCGGGGGCGGCGTTTCCCATAATTAATGTTTGAGCAGCGGCGGCGGCGGCGAGGAGAGGCGAGAGTGAAGGAAGCAGATCCATACAGAGGTCACGGCAGCAGATACAGGACGCTGCTGAACACCGAGAGGATCAAGGACGTCTGATCATTGTGATAAAGAGATACAACCTGACGCTTCCTGTTTGTGGGTTGGTTGATGAATCCTCTCGATGCAGGTAAATAGTTGTTCACACTTCAGAGTGGAGATGAACTGTTGAACTTTTGTTTTCAAACGTTTTTACATCAGAAATCTGGTTTTTCTTTCTTTTCTTACCCAACGTTTTACTGATGTAATTAATCATTGTTTCATTGATTTTTTTGGGTGTTAAATTTAGAGCCTCTGTGATCTTCACTCCTCTACGACGGGCCGATGGGTCACACTGTTGAAATGGTTTCTAAACAGTATAAACTTTTTTAGATAGTTTCTGCCTCTGATCCATCGACACCTTCCTCTGATTGTAACTACAGTCAGAATTATTTAGTGCTTTTTTAACTCCAAAACAAGGTTTAATTGAATGTAAATGAAGAAAGTGTGAAAGTGTCAGTAATGAGTTGGAAGGAGGCGGGCTGAAAGGTGTGATGCAGTTATTGGGTAATGATTAACAGGTTGACAGAGGAGGACAGAAGACGGATTTCTTCACATGTGAAACTGTGGGATGAAGTTCTGGAAAGTTTCTACAGTTCTCCACTGGAACAGCTGATCACAGATCAATATGTGTCAGCAGCTGTTTCCTCTGGTTGGTCGACTGCAGCAACGTCATTCACACCTGGAGGACTTAGACGTGTGCCTGTATGTGTAGTCATCCTGTTTTAGATCACAGCCAGTTTGACACTGAGCTCCAAGTTCAATTCATTATAAATGACAATAAATGTTTTTCATGGGGTTTTTCTTCACTGAGCTGAAAACAGACTGAGCCGTGACTTCTGACTGAAATGAGTTTTGTGGCTTGTTACACGTCTAAACGTTCAGGAATCAGAGTCAGGAAAGAAAAAATGGTTTCACAACGTTTGCGACATAAAAAACTTAAAGATAATTTTAGCAGGTAAAAGTAAAAGGGGAGGAGCTACTGGTCAGTGGATTTAAATCTGAAGAAGCACAAACAGAACGTGATGAAAGCTTTAGCGATAATAACAGATCATGGACTTTATTATTAACTTGAAGCTGTGACTGAGCTTCTGCTGAACACATCCTGTTGTATCACACACATGATCTAATGAGATGAAGCTCGCCAACAACACGTGTTAAATCTGCAGCATCTCTAATTACCAGCAGACCACAGTTCAACTCAAACTCTGACAATAATGGGAAAAACTTTTCTCTGGAAATTCTGCTTCTGTTTCAGTGAAGCCTCAGAAACTTCTTCCATTAATATTATAAACCGAAGAACACTGATCTGTTCGCGGGATCAAACCAACGGTACAAAAAGCACCTGGACTGGATAAAAACAAAGACGTAAAACTTCCCTCTGGTTTGAATCCAGCTGGAGGAGTTTGAGACAAAGTCAGGGAGGACGACCACTCAGAGGAGCCGTCAGTCTAAATGCAGGACTAACTGGGTAACCCACTTCTTAAAAATTCCCATCAGCCTTTCTTTCTTTTTTAGCAGCGAGTCGGTCAGCGCTCCACATCAGAGCAGAAACACCGACGGACTTTAATACGTTTTACAATAAAAGTGAAATAAATCTCCGTCTGTGGCTTCACCACTGGAAACATCCTGAGCAGTTACTGAAGATAAAACACGGCTGATCATTCACCCAGTGAGAAGGACGACGCCAAACCTCACGTCACTTTGTTTCTCAGCCTCTGAAGCGGAGACAGGAAATAACTGCAATCACCTCCTCGTGCTCGTATCCCTCCGCCACTCAGACTAGTTCCAGGTCACATCCTGTTTATCCAGAGTCAGAGAGAATTTGAACCATTGGTGTGAAATGTAGTCATAATTGCTGTGAACTCTTGAGTCTTGACCTTTGACCCCCAAAATCTAATCAGTTCATGTTTGTGCTAAATTTGGAGAAGTTCGTCGAGGTGTTACTGAGACACTGTGTCCCTGAGAGGGGACGGACGCCTTTGTCTTCATGTTCAAAAAAATCAATAAACATTACAAGAAGTCATATAAAGTTTCCAAAGCTCGTGGAAAAACTTTCACCTGGACTCAAGGACAAACTAATTAGACGTTAGTGATCAAAGGTCAAAGGTTAAGGTCAGTGTGACTTCACAAAACACTTTTTATCCATTACTCAAGACTTAACAGTAATTATGACTCAATTTCACACAAATCATTAATATCTTCTCTGACTCTGGATAAACAGGATGTGACCTGGAACTAGTCTGAGTGGCGGAGGGATACGACCACGAGGAGGTGGTTGTAGTTATTTCCTGTCTCTGCCTCAGAGGCTGAGAAATGCAGGTTTTAGTGAACGCCCCCCCTCTGGTTTTAGGAGGCTGTCTTCAGACAGAGCTGAGGTTTGGGAGGGAGACTCAGGTCTTCATGGGTTGAGGAACATTAGTTGTATCTTAACAGTGTCTCTGAGGTTAATCTATAGAATGTGAACATTAAACCCCGATGATCACGTTTGTGTTCAGCTCTTCCATCTGCTCAGTGAGGACGTGTCTGACCACAGTCTCACTTTGTCTTCTTTAAGATAACAGGGATTACAGGCCTCAGGAAGATTAAACTGTGTCAGCTCTCAGATGCCCTGAATAAAGGAGTAAAGTAATAATAAAGATAAAGCAGCGTCCCTGCTGACTGCTGGGCTGGTCACGGGGTGGGTTCAGTTACTGGACTGACGGTGGCGGTTCAACATGTTGCTGCCAA